ATCGACGATTTTGTGGTATTTAAACTGTGCAGTAAAATAGTATATTAAAGAATTAATTTTTTTAATTCACTCCTCCGTTAATATTGAATTGAAGTTTTTACAGATATTTTCTTAGATTTTTTTTTTCAAGCTTAGAGTATTCGGGTCACTGATACATATATACAATAATATACATATCTCATTATTTAGGTAAAATCTAAAAATTTTTTTTTTTCAAAATTGATACCGGGAAAATCCACAAGTTCATGATAATGACCCTTATTTGAAAGTTGTCAAATGTCATACAATCGTTAAAATAAAGTGCCCTTCTTGTGAAATAATAATGTGGAAATCATTTTACTGGATGTTGATCGATTTTCAAGGGATAAATCTGTGGGTAAAAGGCATAAGGGGATAAGTCAAAACAATCAATTTTTTAGTAGTGCCTTAAACGTGTTCGCATTAATTTAGGAAATACATTTATGGTTAGCGGGTATATCCTTTTGCCAGCACATGTCATATGCTAGCAAAAGGGTATGCTCGCTAACCATAAATATATTTCCTGAATTAATACGAACACGTTTAAGTCTCTACCGAAAAATTGCTGTTTTTGACTTATCCCCTTATGCCTTTTACCCACAGAAATTTTGATTTACACAAGTTATAAATTGTTAAGCTATTTACTCGCTTTATTCAATTTAAATCATTTTTAGATAATAATAAGTAATTGTCGTATGAAAAGTATAGTATGCAACTTGTTTATAGATACTCATTTAATTAAACACTCGCTCTCAAGCTCGCTCGTGCCTAAATTGAATTTGTGACTAAAATGGCGTTTATAAAACTTAATACATAATATACTATTAAGTCGTTGCAGTCAGTAGTAAGAAGTGACCGGTAATAATAATACGAGTAATTTATACATTTATACCAAAGTAAGCAAACGACCATGTACATTTAATATTGTATTTACCTGTTTTAATACCAATATACTTATAAAATTTGATATTATTTCTGTTTTGCAATTACTTAAGTCACGGCGTTCTCTAAAGAGAACGCCGTGCTTAAGAACATATTTAGAAGCATTAAAGTCGCGTACTATTAACAGATTCTTTTGATGTAAGGTTATATTCTCCATGTTCAAAAAACACTTTCATTTCCTTAAGATGTAACCTTTGGTGGAATGTTTAAAACATAAATGAATACTAAAATATATTTTTAAGTGAGCATTTGCAACCAACTACAAAATTCCATATTTAACTACATATAAATCGATGTGCCGAGATTGACATGACACACAATTGCAAGCGTCATGCGATAAACTTTTGTATGCAATTTATTTGACATATATGATGATGTATTCGACATAGACAAGCTTAGTAAACATTGCTTTTAGGTTTTTCGGTTTTCTCTCGCTTTAATTTTCCTTTACTCATTTGCTTGAAATTTTCGAAATACGGTATTTCGAAATCAGTAATAATAACTACCTATAGGTATTGGTATAACTCATAGTAAAAAGCTTTGTTTTTTATTAATAATATATAGATAATTATTTAATTACAAACTATTATACAGGGTGCGGCACAGGCACCGACATGTTTAAAATGGTTATAAAAACTGTAATTTTAGCTCTAAAAAATGATTGGCTAAATATTATTAAATATTAATATTCCTTAAAACATAGCATTTTACATAAACTGTGAGAAAAATTGTATATGGCATGTTATGGCATGATCATAAAAACTGAAATTTAGGCTGTAAAGGAAATTTAATTGCTGGAAAATAATTCGTTGTTACATAGCATTTAAAATAAACTATTTGCAAAAAATTAACATCAACACATTGACAAAGTCGTCCTCGAAAATTTATGTCGACTTTCTCCAGTAGGTCTTTGTTGATGCCATTGTTTTTTTCTTTAATTCTCTAACGTACATGGCTTATTTTTTGACAAATCAGGATACCGAGGGTCACCTAATGGCGAAATAAGGCAGTCAAATGTCAAACCAACGGCAAAACTTGCGCTCTACCGCAGTCACTTATAAGTGACTACTATAGTAATTATTTCGAACAAAACCTTGTACGCGAATGCCCACTATGATCAAAAAATGCCGTTTTGCGGCTAAAATTAAACAACTTTTTTATTACCACTAAATATTAATTATTTTAATTTAATTTAATGTCTTAAAACTTTTTGCTAGGTATAATTTATTTAATAAAATAAACCATATTTAATCAAATTTTTATAACTTTCTGGTTGAAATTATTTTATATAATATTTTATATTATATAAAATAAATAAATTATATTAACAATTTCTCCACGTATTTTATACACGATTTTTTTGTCCTTGCAAATGTTATAACATGGTCAGATAATATTAAAAGTCGATGTAAAATATCTTTATTCGTTGCTGCCCCTACTTTTTTAAAATCTTTATTTCGGGATTCTTGTGCCTCCTCTGAAATGACCCCGGTTGGTAAAGATATATTTTTCATCACCTCCTTTCCATGTACCATTATTTTATGAACTGTTACAGGCAGGTAGTACCATGGATACAGTTCCATAAATAACTTTGCCGTTTGTTAAAAAAAAAACATTCCAAATTTGCATCAATCAATCAAGCTTTATGTAGTGATAGCTTGTATAATTGTTTTTAAATCTATCTATTAATTTAAAATCTACCTTAGTTATCTCTTCAACTAAGGTTCTTGTGTTTCCAGAGTTGGAAATACCTGAGCCGGTTTTAACTAGGTCTATTATGTATAAATAAATGAATAAAAACAACACTGTTTTAAAGTTTTACTATTTTTTTTTTAAATAAACAATTGTTTCGCTATACTTTAGCTTCTTTAGAATAACCATAAATTTTTATTAAGTAGCGGTATTTTTATTAGCTAATGCACGTATTAAAAAAAAATAAGTAAAATAAATCAAAGGAGAGTTTTTGGTTTCAATTTGTTCATTATAAACAATATCCGATTTTTTCTTTAGTTTATTAATTTCCAAAGACTCCTGAAGATTTAGTTTGGTGCCTCTATTGGCTACATGTAAGTTATCGTCAAATTTGTGGTTCTCTTGTATTAAATGGTAAGTCCTGTTTAAGGTTTATATAAGATTTCTTGTGTTCTTTAATTCGTGTATTAAAGTTTCGTCCACTTTGGCCTATATATGTTTTCGGACAGTCTCTGCAAGTTATAATTAGAAACCTATTTTTGGACTTCCATTGTCTTTTTTATGATTAATTCACAATGTTTCAATTGCTAAGTATCTGCAATCGTCTTCAGGTGATAATGACAAATTTAAAAAACTACGAGATTATTTATACTATTGGTATTTGTTCCGCTTGATCCGGTCGGGTGCATTCATGTTAAGTTCACCGATCCGTGCGATGAGGGGTTTCCATACTTCTTTGATTTCTACGCTAGGGTGGCTAAATATTGTAGAGTTATTTTTCTATGTATGCTCCTTCTTTAAAATTACTTTTTAACCAGTTTTCTTCCTTATTGATTATGCCTGCCTCTTGCCACTTTATATTATGGTTTCCTTCCATGCATGTTCGGCGATTCCAGATTTTGTTGTTTCTGCTTTTGAGTATGGGTTTTATGCTCTTTTATTCTTACTTCCAACGGACGTTTAGTTTCACCCACATATAATTTCACATTCCATGGTACCTGGTTCATGCAGTTCTTTGTATCCTTTTTGTCGGTGGGTCTAGTTTTATTAAGTTTACTTCTTATTGTTGTGGCTGATCTAAAGACTGTTTATTTCCTTTTAATATATGGGATAACTAAAACGGGCTTCTGATCATTTGCTTCCAGGGTCCCTGGTTTTTTCAATTTAGTGGATCTTATCTATTAGTTTCTCTAGAAACCCGTTTTTCTTAAGGTATTTTTTAATATTGGATAACTCCTCATTAAGGGCGTCTTCAGTATTACATAGCCTTCTTGCCCTGTCGATTAAACTCTTGATAATCCCGGTGAACGATCCCGACTTTTCAATTTTAGGAATCTTATCTTTGGGGTTACCTAAAACGGTCTGAAGTGTGTTGCTACTTGAACTAAAAGCAATTTTAAAGTCCAGTTTTCGAAAAATCCCTTCCACACCTCGAGTATACTGGGGATCGAAAGGAATAGTCATAAACTTGACTTTTGATGGCTCTGCTAGCTCTGTTTGAAAAGTCGTTAACCCAGAAAGGCGAGAATTAAATTAATTTTATTTACTAACTTATCTACTAGGGTGGGTTCAAAACCATTGTCTCTAGCAATCTCTTTTATAAAACTGAGCTCTTTCTTGTATCTACTGTTACTAAGTGGAAAGTTTATCAACCTACGAACAAGAAAGTTAAAACTAGCCTGCTTATGTTATGTGCAGTGGTTCGAGTCTGAAGTGATGTATCATGCTTTTGTAGATATCGAACTCTAGAGTATTGTTAGATTTAATAACTACGGTATCTTAAAATGGTATCTGGCTTGTTTTTCCAATTTAAATATTAATTTAATAAAGGGAATACAATTATTCAATTTGGAAACAAAATCATCTAAGCTGCAAGCGTTTTGATCGAAAATACCAAAGATATCGTCGACGTATCTCGGAAAATACCCCGAGCTACTAAGTTCCTTCTCAAAGTGGCTCATAAAAAGATCGGCTAAAAAGGGGGACAAGGAGTTCCCCATAGCAGTCCCTTCATGCTGTTTATAGAAAATAGTTTTGCCGCATGCAGGCTGATGCTAACTTCATTAGGGTATAAATTGGTAATATCAAAAGAAATATTTTGGCGTTTCGGTAATGGGATGTCTTTAATATTTTTAATTTATTCGTATACATTTTTAATGTTTTTTATGTTCTAAATTCGTGTTGAATTTTTTATTATTATTATTATTAATACTTATTATATTAGGAGTAAATATAGTTTAATATGATTTTCAATTAATCTTTAACCAACGGTCATCGTGCATTCTTTTATCTTGAGCAGCAGTAGAATCAGCAGCAATCGCCAGCATCGAAAAGGGCAGAGAGAAAAGAAAAGAAGAGCATAGAGAATAAGGAGGCGAAGAAGCGTCACGACGATGGATCCCGTTGCAACAACTCGTTGCCGAAAATCATCGCATCGAGTTCAGTATCGCTACGTTTTCCGCGCCGAAAAGTTGGGCGCCGCGACGCTGCATCACCGTCCGTCGACGCCGTGTGCTCGGATAAACTTGTATTGTTGGGAATTCTATCACGTGTAAGCTTTTTCTATGGCTTGATTAAATTTTGCCGATGCATTTTTTCCTCACGTTCGATCGCTGGCATTTAATTAATTTATATTTAATAAGTACTATAATTAATCGCATTTTTTCATTGCTAATTAACACTTTTTTGTTGAGCTAAAAAATTGAAAAAATTTAATTTTCCTCGAGATAAAATTAGATTTTTTTTTATTTCTCCTACCATTAAAAAAAAACTATAATTAAAAACTAAATTGTTCACCACATTGTTACAAATGTTTTAAAAATAAAATGCGTGGTTCAAATTATTGGCATCAAAATTTTTATTTCTTATCGCAAAATAAGATAAATTTAAATTTTGCATAAATACACGAAAGTTTTTAATAAAATTGAAGTAAAAATTATTATGTATTTTAAAAGTTCTCTAAAAGTTCAAATTATATCAACTATTTACTTTTTGATTAAAACATTAGGACATGCTTATTTAATATTTAAATAATTTATATCCATAATTTGTCACAATAAAAACGTTAATTTTCTTACTCTTGGTTTGAGAGGTTAAAGGTGAAAGCTTAAGTTTACTCGTAATTACTACTACACCAAATGTTAAGCTTTTTATTTAATTAAAGGAAATAAAATGGTTAGTAAAAATTTGGACTACCCTGAATATAACTATAAAAGTATAAAAAAGTAAAAAAAAAACAATGTTTGCAGTAGTTATAGTTATATATTAAGCCAAAATATTAGACATCGAAAAATGGTTGTTTTTTGTTCTTTTATATATGCATAATATGCTGCAATGCATGTATAAAATCATTGTCTAAAAACATTATAATTATTATAATTTTAATTATAATTTTTTTGCTTCGCCTCGGGCATCATGGCGCGCAGTGATTCTCACACTTTCTGCCCTTGTAGTGTAATATACTAATACTTTTTGTAATAAATTTATACTTATCAGATCTAAGGATAATTTTAAATTTAAAAACAAATATTAATTTAAAGTTTAAGGTTTTTAATTAATTTAAAAATCAAAATTATATGGTGATTAAAATGGCCAATGTTATTGTTTAATACATTTATAAATAATGGTATAATATATTTAAAAATATATTTAAGCTACATTTAATGTAGCACCTTAAAAACATAACATAATTCTGAAAAACAGCTGCGATTTTGTTATAAAATATTGTTTAGACATTAATAATGCTTGTAATAATTTACTCTAGGAATAATTAAAATATAAATATTTAATGTAATCACGACTATCTTTTAAAATGTAAATACCTTTTTAAATATTGCATAAATGTTCGTATGCACAAAACTTTTTAGTCGACAGTCATTGACTAAAATTTTAGACATATTTATTATGTCTTTAATTTTAAATCGCTTAAAGTTAGTAAATTATATTTTTAGGTAAATTATAGTTGAAATAAATGCTTTCATTACAATAAACAAATGTATGATACAAGTAGCTATTACTGTAAAAAATAAAACATAATTTTTGTAACATTTTATAATACATGAATGTATTATAAAATGTTCCAACAATTATGTTTTATGAATTCATCATGAAGTGTCGTAACCCACAAAATTAAAAAAAATTAGTTTTTTTTGCGAATTAACTTGCACGATGCATCGCGATGGTATGTTCTATTAACTATATGACATATAAAAGATACATATACGAGCCCTAACCACATAATGTTCGGACACTTCATAATTTATACAGAAATTTTTTTCGTGAATACTATCTCAAAATTATTAGAAGTTATGAAAAATTCAGCTTATTTTGGCATATACCCCTCGAAGCGATTTTTATTTTTAAAAAGTTTACCTTTTATTTTTAGCTTTTAAAAAAAGGCTAACTTTTTAACTTTTTTTTGCATGAGTAAAAAAAGTTATAAATGGGCCCATTAAAAAGAACATAAAATATTATACAAACCCTGAAAATTTGGTAAAAATTGTATAAATAATAAGAAAGTTATAGCGATATATATATATCTGCAAAATCTCCCGTTTCCTAAGAAAATTGCAAAAACTCTTTAAAAATAGCATTTTTAAATTACTTATACTTTTTTATAACTTATTTATTAAGTCTTTTTTTATCAAAATAAATATTAAAAAGGGCTTGAAGAGTAATCAAAAAATAAAATGAGGAGCGTTCATGCAACTGCACTATTTTGACTAAACTGTCGATATTTAGGATATGGGATATATGGGATACATGGGATACCTGTTATTTGTATTTGTTTATCCAATCAACAGCACAAGACTATATTAAACCTAATTTTTAGTGGAATGTCTTATTTTGAATAAACTTTACTCAAATTTTACTTTTTTTTATATGCTACACGTTTAAAGGATTTTACATAAACTAAAAAATAACCATAGAAAAAAACTAAAATCAAAACACCTTTAATTTCTGTGTATCATTTTTCATTTGTAGTGTTTTCAATAAGATACATAATAATAAACAAAGAAAAATATTCAATTGAATATAAATTGAAAATTTTGATTGTTACTTTTCTTGCGTCATTTTTTACTTGATTGGGAATTTGATATTTTGAAGTTGGAAATATATAATTGTAAAATTTTATATCAAATTTAATTCATAATAAGAAAACTAATTTTTCATTTGTATTAAATATAATTTTTTCATATTTTTTTTAGTTTGTTTCCTTCATTTAAATCTAAGTTTAATCTTAAACCTTATTTTATAATTTTATATAAAATCTAAGAAACCTGATTTATAAGTTTTCTTATTTTTGATAAGTTTTTTAAAAAAGTTTTATGATTTATTTATTTTATAAATATAGTAATTACAGAACAGTGTTGCCAACTTTTTAGTTAGATAGATGCACTTTTTGTTTAAATCCCTTTCGTTAACAGTATATTTTTTATTGAAAAAAAATAGCAAGAATAAGTACAAGGATATACTTTCAACGAAAAAAATTATTATGAAACATACGAAGGTACTATGATCCATACCAAAAAATGCCCACTTTGAGATTTGAATGAGGAACGCAGCCGCATAATTCATACCTATCTCTCGAATTAACACCAATATCGTCTCATTTTTGAAAATTATGTTATTATCTTAGACCATAAACCATTGGGATCGTAATGTGCGTCAAAATCATCGTGTGCAAAATTAATAAAAAAAAATCATCGCGTGTATTTGGCTGCAAGACCCTACAAATAAATAAAAAATATATAAAATTTGATAAAACTAATGTTAATTTCATCTGTATTAAGAAATGTATTTATGTATATATTAGTTTAACGTTAATTTCATCCTTTTTTCTAAAAATAATACAATAAATGTATTTTTGTGAATAAAGGTCTTAATTTATAACACAAAAAACACTTAGGTTCCATTGTATATTTTTAGAAAATAAAATAATATTAGCGTACCTTTTATGTGGAGTATTATACTCTATATTATTCTCTATACTATACTACTATAATAGTACCTATCTCTCGCATAATTTATGCTGTAGATATATTTCAACACAAACTATGCACCTTTTAAACATTTTACGATATTTTCATCAAATACCACTCAAAACAAAACAAAACAAAACACCAAAAAAACCACATAAACTTATCTAAAAATGCGGACAACTGCGAATCGAATATACAAAAAAATTTTAAACGAACATAATATCAATTAAAAACTATAGCCACCCTTAATAACTTTTGAGTTATAGTAAATATGATCTTGAAGAAAAACAGGTCGATTTAGATATCGAGGAGGAATTACAAATCAAGTGTTAAACACATTTTATGTTGCACCCTCTCACCTCCAGCTACCCTTACTAAAAAAATTAAATTTCACCCTATACCTTGCGAAACATTATTTAAAGAAAATTTAATTTCTGATCCATTGAAGTTAAACAAAATTAAAATCCGTTCACGGATTAACAATTAAGAGCCAAAAAAGGTGTGATATACAGGGTGAGTCATTTAACTTGAAACTTTGAAGGTGGAACTTATAGGGGGAACAGGGTGTAACTTTTAAATTTCCAATGGAGCACTCTATTTTTTATTGCACATTCGACTAAAAATAGGTAGATTTTGTCTAAAACATTTTTTCATATTTGTAATAAAAGGCGCTGTAATGAAAAAAAAAAATCAATTTTGTTCGATTTTTCTTCTGTATACGATTCTCTACGAAGGCGTAGAAGGGCCAACAAAAATTTTACAAATTTTAGCCAAAACTAACTTTTATTTTTGCAATTTCTATTCTATAATTGTAACTTGAACCTACAATTGTAACTTGAACCTACAATTGTAACTTGAACTTACAATTGTAACTTGAACCTACAATTGTAACTTGAACTTACAATTGTAACTTGAACCTACAATTGTAACTTGAACCTACAATTGTAACTTGAACTTACAATTGTAACTGGAACCTACAATTGTAACTTGAACTTACAATTGTAACTTGAACCTACAATTGTAACTTGAACCTACAATTGTAACTTGAACCTACAATTGTAACTTGAACTTACAATTTTAACTTGAACCTTAGACTGGGCCAAAAAAATCAACTTTTTTTTTTTGAAAATATGGTATATTAAGGTCTATCATCGCAATTTTAATATTTTTTTCCTCAGCAAGTTTTTGTCTCAGAACTCCCAAACCATTGAGTTTAACAAAATTGGCTTGATAATATTTATTTATAGGTTAAAGTGAAATTTTCCGTCAGATGGACCGTTTCCTGAAAATCATGCCTTAAAAATTGGTCTACTTTTACATTTTGATCTTTTAAATTGGAATTTTGTAAAAATCAGTACCCATAAAAAACCGATAAATATTAATATATTTTTTTGGGAAATCAAATGCTTTACAAAAAAGCATATTGACATTTTTGGCTAAATTCACTCAATCAAAAGTTATTCAAGGTTAAAATTTCGTTTTGAATTCAAATTTACCCTTGAATACCTAACTTTTGATTGAGTGAATTTAGCAAAAAATGATAAAAGACTTTTTTTGTAGAGCATTTGAT